AGGGTTTAGGGTTTAGGGTTAGTAGACTTATCAGGGGGGACTTGGCAAGTAGTTATCCTATAGACTTTTTAAGTATGATAACCCCAATTAGGGTCCCTTTTAGGGTACTTATAAGTCTACTAGCCCTCAACCCTAAACCCTAAACCCTAAACCCTAAACCCTAAACCCTAAACCCTCACCCTAAACCCTAAACCCTAAACCCTAAGTCCCCCGACCCTCCAAGTAGAGATCGCGGTGCTATGCTTGCACGCAAGCCAGGAGCCTTGTGAGTCGAAGCTTCAGTGCGTATGTGTCGTGTGTATACCGTTTCGGGTTTAGGGTTCAGGGCTTCGGGTGTAGGGTTTATGGGTTTAGGGTTTAGGGTTTAGTAGGGTTGAGGGGTTCAGGGTTTTAGGGTTTAGGGTTCAGGGCTTTGGGTGTAGGGTTTAGGGATACCGCATCTTGGTGTTATGCTGGCGCCAGTGACTGGCGACTGGTGCGAAGCCGCCGCACGCACGACTGCATAGTGGAGACAATTTTGCTCCAAGTCAGTTTTTCGGCATCCAAGACAAGAACACTGTTCGGTTGAAGCCCATCGCATGCTGGCACGCCGCACGTCTTGTACTGGTGGAACGCCGAGACACAGGAGACGCTACTCTGCTCGGAGGCGTAGCGTGGCGCCGCTTCAGCCTTTCAGGCAGCAAGCGCCCCAAACCCACCCAAATCCGTTAGAGCTACTGGATCTTCTGCTTTTTTGGATACATCTGCAAGTACATGGGGATCTAACCAAACCTGCCACCACCTGAACCCTGAACGCTGAACCGTAGCTTTGCCGTGCAGCAAGTTTGGTGCCTACTTAAAGGATCATGGGACTTAGTAACTGAGGTTATAAGCCAGGTAACTATACTTATAGCCCCAATTGGGGTAGTTATAACCCTACTTACTAAGTCCCAAGATCCTCCAAGTAGGGTTTACAAGACAACGATCCAAACTCTAAACCCTAAACCCTAAACCCTAAACCCTAAACCTTCAAGAGATCCCAAAGCCTGACCTCGAGACGACTTAGGTCTCAAGGCCTTCGTATGTCGGGGCGTTTAGGGTTTAGGGCTTATAGGATTTAGGGTTTAGGGCTTAGGGTTCAGGGTTTAGGGTTTAGGGTTTAGGGCTTAGGGCTTATAGGGTTTAGGGTTTAGGGTTTAGGTAGTGCTATTAGGGGAACCCCTTAAAGGGTACCCCTTCTGAACCCTACTTTTGGCTCTCTTAAAAGGGGCCTCATTGAGAGGGTCTATATCCCCAAGGGCTAAGGGTCCCCCTAATCCTAGCTCCCAAAGTAGTGTCGCTGCAGCTGGGACATGGGACTTACGAAATCCCCTGATGCATCGAGCAGCTTCCCCGGGGGCAATCATACCTAAACCGCTAAACCCTAAACCCGAAACCCTTAAGCCTTAGCCCATATCCCCTAAACCCTTAAGCCTTCGCCCTAGACCATAAACCAGTAAGCCTTAGCCCCAAACCCTACACCCGTGAGCCCTAGCCCTAAACTCTGAACCCCGAACCCCTGAACCCTAAACCCTAACCCGAGAGGCTAGCTTCCCTCGACAATGAGCCCTCAGGACGAAATATTATGCCCTAAAGCCTGACCCTACACCCTTGATCCTGATCCCTAGACACTAAACCTTCAACCCTAATGCCTGAACCCTACCTAGACCATCTTTTCATACGTTTATTTCCGTGCTTCAGAATTTCCGTAAGGGATGAGGGATATCTGTGATTTACACGTGTGATGGAAACTTTCGTGCGGGATATTGCAGCAACCTGGAAACAAAACAATCTGAAGCAAACCTCTCTTCATCCCTCGACTCACATCTGCCACGGTCATCCTCACTATCTTCGCCCTGGCAACGCAGTTCACGACAGCTGGGGACTGAGCTTTTTGCCTTTCAGACGAATTCACGTGCCCATTGCTTCTGGTACAAGAGTAGGCAGATACGGATCGTACGTATTGCCACAGTGGCATTCGACTGTCTACGCGATATTCGGGCACATCGGCCCACGAAGTCTTCGTCCATCCAGCATGACATACCTTGGGATAGGATCGAATAAGGCTTGTTGTTCTACATAGTCTCAAAAGAAGTAGTATGCAAGTCAATTTCGGAGCGCATGCCAAGACTTGCAGACAAAGGGCACACGGGATTGAAAATATAAGGCACGTGCATCTGTACTTGGATTTCAAGATCTCTCCTAAGCTGGAGTTGCCAGCCGGGTTCATGTCGCTTCAGATATAACCGGCCAAGCGTCGTAATGTGCATCAGCATATGCAGCTTCGGTTTCAATTTGTAGAGAGGCCATGTTCGGCGAGCTGACTCGAAGGCAAGGGCTCCCACACCCTCCTCAGCAACTGGCAGTTCTTGTTAGTGTTCAGCTATAAACCAAACCCCTGCCGGGAATCTTTCAATAAACGAACAACTTTCCAAAGGCCAGGTAAGGCACTGTCATATTCCACCCATTAATAACCAGGCGCTGAGCAACATCAACCGGTATCCACACACCGTGCTGACTCAGCCCGCGAAAGAAAGCATTTGTGTTCGACATCGTCCATTGCAGAAGTTGGTACAGATCTCGCAAAGCAGGTGCCTTAACTAGAAATGGGCTTTCATGGTTGCAAGAAAGGATAGGCAACACTGCGTTGAGAAGTTCATGTGCAGCTACGGGTCCACTCTGTCGGCTCCGTGGGGGGCCGAGAGGAAGTCATCTAGCCAACAGCAAAGTAGGATAGTGTCGAACCCTTTGCCGGTTCCAGATGGCCAGTTGCGTAGCCTCAGGAAACCATTGCAATAGGCCGACTTGCAAAAGCATGGTGCGTTAACACTAACCACTGTCAGTTTATATAAAATCTGCAGAAACATGAGGTGGGCTACGTCTTCATCTTGAACTTCAAGAGCGAAAATCCCTCGAGGCTGCTCGTCTTGCCATTAGCCTGTAGCCACTCCACAAAAGAGCCATAGAGCTTGTTCAGGATCTCTTGAGTTGAGTTTCCTGGGACCACTTTCATCCGGACTAGCAGTATGACACTTGAAGACGCCAGTCCCGATCCAACTCCTTGAATAGCGAAAGTGTGAGCAGGGTCCGTTCGGCAATACCAGGGATCATTCCCTCCGGGAATGTCGCGTAGTGGGCTCCCGAATGCTTTCCAAGGTGGCGCAGAAGGACGGTCACGGGTCCAAGTTCTTATGGCCGAGTTTGGGGTTGTGTTGTACCAATCCTTCGAGAATATAGTGGGGTCCACAGGTTGACTATAGTGTAATTTAGTGATGATAGTTGCGGGAGTTGTCTTGGCCCTAAGAACCAAGAGGGTGTATCTACTATTCATTTGGTTTATATATATATATATATATAAATAGAGAGAGAAGCCTGGGGCTTTAGGGCAACCCAACTTCTGAACAATCAAAACAGAACTATACAAAGTAGGGCTCTAGATAGAGTATTGTGAAATGTTGAAAAACCGAGCCCGCCTCTTGCTCACACAAGTGACAGAGCCGGTTTGAAGAGAAGCCGGTCTTCAGGCAAAATGCCTTGCGCAGCCACACCCAATCCCCCTTACAGCCCAGCCACGCGCAGTGTAGCTTCAGGGTCTGACCACCATGCGTAACCTCAAGGTGTTCATGACCACTACAGATTCAGCGCAGGTCCATGCAAAACCTTGCAGGCAAGCAACATCAATCCCTTCCAGTAGAAGAGACATGCAGTCCTGGGATAAGTCGTCCAACAGCTGGAAGATCGTAGTTTCCCCACGGTAGCAACGGCCAGGTATCACAGTGTACAGTAGTCGGGAGCAGAACGAGTGCCTCAGTTATGCACACATCAATCCTGACGCTTGTCGTTATTGTGTGTATGTTGCATAAAACATTTATCCAATTGGACAAAGTCGCCCGCTTTGGTTCAAACGACCCACACCCAGATGGGACAATATACCCTGGTAAGCCACTATCAACAAAGGTTGCTTCATCCGGCCACGGCCTTCGTCGCCGTGGAGCATGAAAGGCAAGGTTCGTCTGCGATTTAAGCCAAGACTGAACACAATATGCCCAGCGTCTACGCGTTCATACTTGTTCCAGAAGTCTTCCAAAATAGGCTCCCCAAGGTGGCTCTGAGTGAGTGTGTGGCCAGCAAGCAAAAGCTGACCTCCCTGTGTTTCCATCACAAAGCGAACCCATTCCGACAGCCGAATTACAGGCCAGGGAACTTTGTCTAGATGCCGGCGCTTCGTGGCATGCTTGATATCAATGTTGGCATAGCTGATCCGAACTTGTAGCGTAAAATCTTTGTGCTTTAGCAGTCGGTGTAGGTTGCGGCACACGTTTGCCTCATCTTTGGCTCGGGCACATTTTGCCAGACGTCTGAGCATCGGGTCATGAACACCTGTCAGGGATACGGGAAGAGCTAGTGGTACACTTCAGGAAGAGGTCAAAACCAACAATGGGTCCACACATGATTGCCTCGCTTAGCCAACTTCTTGTTGACTTTCCTTGCAAGGCGACATGTTCGGGTCGCTGAGTCAGCCTAGGATAGACAAACTTATGTAAAGTTCACGGACTTTACCACTGAACGGTCGAAATGTGGTTCAACAAGCTGGGTTGATTAATATTTTGGTCAAGGGACGCCAGAAGCCAATCCCATGAGGAGCTCGTCCACCAAATCATCGCTGGATGACTCGCCGGATTCCTCGTCCATCGGAGGACCTCGGCACGTGAGTGCATGTTCAGTCCAAGCTTGGTGTAATAAAGTCTTCCCTTTGTGCTTAGTAGTAGGCTTGAAAATCTCAGGCATCGACGCACATCAGCACATTCAACATCATGACCTGCGAGGGGGACTGCCATCAACCACACGGACGACCCAAAGCACTGCCCAAACATTTCCAGATGCTGTGCACAGACACATTGTTTTGCGCGCGGCTCGCTCTGAGGCACTTCACAGGAGTCACACGAATTTGAGTGCAGAGCTGACAAGTTGCTCATACAACAAGCAGCTTCAGCAACATGAAAACAAAATCACTTTCATGAGCTCATCTGGTCTACTGCTTGCCTTTTCTCCTCTTGTTGGCTGCCGGCTTGGGCTTTGGCAAAGCCCGCTTGTTGGGCTTGGCAGGATTGGCACTGCTTGCCGCTTTGATGCTCCTGGTGCTGGGTTAGTACAAACCGTATGACTCGTCAGTACATATAATACATAAATGCGATTGAGAATCTTGGCACGAGTCACCCAGTTGTTGAGTGAAAGATCCGTCTTGGTGCACTCGACAAAGAGTTTCAGCGCCTCTTTCTTATGCCTCCCATAACGGATGAGCAGATTTGGCATGAAGCACAGCACACAAGCTGCAGGAAACGACGGTCATCGACTTGCCTCTGAAGCTCTGACTCCTTGCTTTCAGTGGCGACTGAGGCCTGGAGTCCTGTCAGATCTTTGTAGTGCTTGTTGAGCTCTTGCAAGGACTGGTTCACGTTGTCAGCTAACCTGAGATGGTTCATGTGGGCTAGTGTTCACGTATGTGTAGCTCCGAAGCACTGTAACACACATGTGTATGACGACAAGTATCGTTTTTGCCTTCTGGTTGGACTTGCCCTTCCCGGTGACGGTCGCGGCCGAATCCAGTCTCTCCTGCACCGGTCAGCATGCTGTTGGACATATGGTCACACAAGTCACTTGATTCGGTGCACTGGGATTGAGGCTACAACGGTATCCTTGACAGTCTCAGCCTGGTCTATCTTCTTTCCAAGCACAGCAAGATATTGCGGGAGCATCGTCAAAGGTGAAGTGTTCTGTTGAAGGCTCGGGAAGCAAATCCTTGAACGGCACATCTCAACTAGTCACATCCGAAGTTTGTGGGCTCAGAGCCACCAAGATGGACTAGACACCGGTCAGCACAATAGGCTTATCTTGGTTAGTACACAACTCCGAGTAGCTTGAAAGAGGCCCCCCCTTGGGCTGCAGCTTCAGCATCTGTGATGCCTGCACCGGCCCCGGCCGGACCAGCCGAAGGTGCGCCAAGATCCTCGTTGGCACCGTCAAGGAGGACACCGTTGGGATCCTCAATTCAATCACATCTGTCTTGCAAACAGAGCAATGTGAGAAATACCGAAAGACAGTGATAACATACAAGCTAGGGCACATCCATGGAGAAGCCACTCTGGAAACCCACACGACTGCCGGATTCGTTCTTGTTTTTCCAAAAGGTTTTGTAGGGGATATCGGCTTCCTCAGCCCCATGAATGGGGTTCTTGAACACCAGGCCGCGGGCGCGTGCCCAATCGAAAGCATTATCACACATGGTCCTTAGCAGATTTGGAGGTTTCGGGCACAATGTTTCAGAGTGTCGCGCGCATTATACCATCGATCTAGGATTCTAGAAGTTCTGATTTAATGGAAGATACTTCGACCATTTCTCATGCTCAGCCAGCCATTCCTTGGTGACCGGTCCACCCAACTCGGTCTTCTGTTTCCTCTGCTCGTGCCAGCGAACCAGCTGGCCTTCGACCTTCTCGAAGGTGCCATGCTCCAGCAAGAGCTTTCGCAGCTTTTCACCTGGGTTTGTTCAAGGGATGTTTGGTACAATCGCACGGACGTAGATACTGCACTGCCTAGGCTAGTTGCTAGCTTGTGGGGTTCTTTAGTATGGCAGGGAAACAGCTGTATCCAAACATACAAGGAGGCTCGGCCATCTGCATTCTTTCCCAGTTCGAGGATCTGGGGTGTCGCCTTGCACTCACCCTTGGAGTTTGGCTTGAAGTAGCGCCACACCCTTGGATGGTCTAAACATATAATTTTACTAGAACGGAAGTATTGATCAACTAGCTCATATATGATCAAGACAAGAAGCTTCCAGTAACCTTCAGGTTTAGGGGCCTGTGAGGCTTGCGATTTCTGATGGCTGGGGCGGGGTGCAAACAGCTGTCTTGCAACCGGCATGGCAGGACTGGGAGTGTTTGGCTTCTTGCCCGGCATTGACAACGTGCTTGCGCTGCCTGGGCTCACCAAGTCGACGGAGGCCACTGTGCTGCGGGTCTTTGGTGTCTTGTGCTTCGTGCTTGCCTTTGGTGTTGGGGTTTTGTTTGGGGTCACCAAGTTAAGGGTGCCATCGGAGCCATCGGTTTGGCTCGGCTCCTTTGGCGCCTTGCTGGGCGGGCTGGGTGTTGCGAGATCGATTTCTGCAGGGGCAAATATACTCGGGGTCGGAGCACCTTCCAAGCCAATCTTCGAAGAATGAGCAAGCATCTGAGCGGTGTGGGAGTTATTCAGCACGGGCTTCGAAGGGCTTGGCTGCGGCGGGGGTGTCTCTTGCTCTGCTTGTGTGCTTGCTTCGGGAACCAACTCTTGCAGAGAGCACTTGGGCAATCCTGGCAGGTTAGCAGGGCGCTCGTCGCCGACAGCCATGGACGGGGCACCTGGCATGTGGTATTGGGGCTTCTTCCGGTACCTATATATGATCTACCATTACAGGGGTTTGAGGAAATGAGTCATTCATGGTAAACTTTTCTCACCAGCCGGCTTACCTACAAGCTTGGGGGGTACCCTGAAACGACCACTCCTTATGAGGTTGGATGGCTCAGTTCACAGGCCTTTGGGACTCGGGCTTTTGGAGAATGTCAATACATATGGAACACACCCAAGATTTATCCCAGGGTTCATCAGGAGTGTCGGAGCACACGTATAGGTCCTATAGGGTCCTAGGGGTTTTGGGCTTCGGAAGAGTCTGTGGGTCGAATGAGAAATAAACCTTGACAGCTAAATGTCTCGAGGGTTTGTAGGCTTTGTGGGATCTGCGAGATCTGTGCAATGTCTCAACTTCGTATAAGATTGCAATGCTTGTTGACATCAGGAGGCCTTCATTAATGAATCGGCCAGCAGAACTTATCCCATCGAGGCTCAAGCTCTGGATGCCAGTGCAGGGATACAGGACTTTGGGGCTCGTGGATATAATATATGTATCTTTCTAGATGGGTCTAGGGGTGTCATATAGTAGATAAGTAAGTCGAACCTATTAAGTATAGGTGTGAGCATAAAGTTCAATATAAGCAAGAGTCTGAGAGTGAATCGATTGTGACTGTTACATACATACATCCATACATACATACATACATACATACATCCATCCATCCATACATAGATACATACATACATGCATACATACATACATACATACATACATACATACATACATACACATACATACATCCATACATACATTCATACATCCATGCATGCATACATACTTACATACATACATACGTACACACATGCATACATACATTCACACATACGGCAATAATAACATGCAAGTAGGTGCCTCAGTTGCATTAAAGAATTCTGAACTCATACACACACACACATACATACATACATACATACATACATACATACATACATACATACATACATACGTACGTACATACATAGATACATAGATACACACATACATACAT